TGAAAGAATAGGAGTCTATGAGGCAAGGTGAATTGAACCCAAATTTCAGAAAAATCAATTAATGGTGGCAATGGGAAAAATTCGTTTTTTATTGTACAGGCAGAAAGCACCTGAAATGCTGCTTCTGTTGAGATGGAGGAATTTGTAGGAAGAACAGTTTCTAACACACTCTCTTTCTGGTTAGTGTTCTCTTTTCATAACTCTGCAGAATAATAGAGCATGGTAAGGACCTTTGAATCCTATTTCTGGGCATCTTTTAGAGTACATACTTCAGCAGACTGAGAAGGCCTTGCAGGACATGCTCTTTTTCTAGTCTGATAAGGAAAGAAAAAGTAGATGCCATCTTCCAAAATGAGTTACACAGACAGCTAATTGGTAGCATCTTCACTTGTATACTAAATGTTGCAAGTGAATCTATTCCATGTTAATTTATTGTATTTCCGGTTTCAAGGAATCCTGTGTATGAGGGGATGTTAGTCAGACCCAACGTTAATGGACTTGCATCACTTTTAACTGGAATTGCTCATGTGTTAATCCATAAGCTCTCACCATTGCAGTTGCCAGGAAATTGCACTTGAGGCTGCAAGCCTACATGTTACATCTCTTCTGGCAATTATATTTGAAACACTGTATTTTGACAAAATAATTCACGATGTACAACCCTATCAGTGCAACCCCGGCTGCCTGAGTGCAAACAGCTTTGCATTCATGGAGCTGGAAGGTTTAACATACTATAAGTAATTGGGCTGTTGAATGGTTGAAATAGCTCTGACCGGGGTTTTTGTGCCAGACCTTGTTCTCACTGACATAACACAATATTCTGAAGACTTGCATTTCAGTAGGCACACTGCACATGAAAAAGTGTGTGGTATAGGTTAATGGCTGAACTCTTACTAGAAAGTAAACCTTATTGAACTTTATCCTGGAAACTTGACAGTGGTAGCTGGCTGAAGTTAAAAGTGAGCTTTGAAGCCCAAAGCAAAATTACTTTGAACCTGAATGTATGGGATAAATCTCAACTGCTGATCAGAATATGTAGAATATTTTCAGCTATTAATTTTATTTAACATATTAAGTAATTGTTTACTTAACAACAAGTGCAAAAACTTTAGCCTTTGCTGCTCTTTTAGGTGTGTTAAAGTATTGTGAAATTAGGAATTCACGACTGCGGACAGACATGTGGAGCTAGAGGCTCAGCAGACTTTTGAAGTCAGCGGAGTTGCTCAGATTTACACCTTCTGAGGATGTGCCCTATGAGATCAGTGCCAGTCCAGACTTACGTATTCTGGGCCAGGTTTAGTGTATTCTGGGTCAGGTTTAGTGAACCTGGAAGAGTCAGAGAACTTCAGAGTGGGTGTTGTTTCATTTTAAGATTGATTGGACCTTCCTCTATCTATGCTGAGAGCTCCCCATTGTCTGATTACTGGGGGGCATGCATTACATATTTCTAGGATTAATTCAATTTCACTTTCAACCTTCATTCTTTTTCTTCTGAGAAATCAGATGGCTTTATGGAAATTCCCTACTGCTCTCTAAATCCCCGAGTCTCTTTCCTGTTTCTCACTTCTTTAAGGTATTAAGTGTTACTCAACAACATAGAAAAGTTAGCATGTCTGACTCAGTGTGTTTTAATTTCACCGCGTTAAGCATAAACAGTTTTAAAGCCATGTTATTTCAAAGTGGCTATATTTTGCACAACACACTATCAAGCTCAGGGATAAGGTTAGCTGGTATTTGTTGGCTTCCAGCTACATTAAATACTTCAAAAACCCATAACCCAAATGTAAAATTGCATCTTACTGCAATACTGAAGAAGTCTGGCCGTGGAAAATCTCAAGGTTAATGAACTTTCTGGCTGAGGATATTTGCCTTTCCAGCTGCTGAACGTGAAAATTGGAAGTGTGAGCTCCTAGGATATTGGTCCCCAGCCCATAATAAACCACCCTGTAACCTGGACTGACATGGGAGGCCACAGTAATGTTGTCTGCAGCACGCTGCTCGTACAGCATGTGCTTTGTGGGACCACGGGCTTGTTAAGGAGGCTCACGTGAGGTTCCCTTGCAGTGGGGCAGTCCTCAGGTCCATCTGCCCTGAGACTGATGCTGCTGTGCTCTCACTGGGTGTGAGGGAAAAGACAAAGTTCATGTGTCTGGGATAGAGTCTTGCTTTATAATCAGAGGGTCTGTAATGAACTAAATCAGGGAATTTCTGCATCATGTGCATTCAGCTTTTTAGCCTCACAACTGGCTTGCTTTGGGGATAGGTTAAAGAGAAAGATCTCTGGATCCACTGGTCTTGGATACATTATCTGAGATTACAGAAAGGATTATCTGCTCTGAACAGGACCTCTTTATTTTTGTATCCATTAACTTAGTCTCTGTGAAGAAGTTAAGTGAAAGACCATCATCCAAAAATAAAAAAAGCAAAAACCCAAAAAACCTCTTACTGAACAGAGGAGGGCTGTGTTCCACACAGGCATGTTTTCTTGAGAGCCTCATGGGAGTTTTTGTATTAGCAGGGCTCTTGAGTACACACACAAGAAAGGGGTTTTTTTAATACTTAGAATATCTGTATCTTCTGAGCTTGTGAATCTGAGCTGGCTGATATGTTATGGAATATATCATGCAGTTTGAACCAAGCAATCTAATGGAGTGGTTACTGGGAAATGTATATTAGTGAGAACATTAATGTCCTCATTTTATATTGAAACCAGGTTTGACATTGTTTATGTAGCCCATGGCTGAGCAGTGATGTTAGTATGAAAGAGGCAGATTGTTTAGCTGAAAGGAGAGTTGACACTTGTCATGTTTGCATTACTGACATTAATGTTTTATGCACTCAGTGTTTCTAGGACTACTTCTCTGTGTGGGATTATGGCAATTCCTGATCAATTGTGTCTTTGTAAGAAAATATAACCACACATAAAGTAACTAAAATGCAAGGTAGCTCACCACAGCATAAAGACCAACTAGAAGTTTGAAAAGAAAAATATTCCAATAAAAGGGTTCTTGATCAACAAAATTTGAAAGGACTTAACAATTTTACTTCACTAGGATTTAGCTAATGTGTTTGTCCTCGTTTCAGAGCAAGGTGTAAATTCTTTGCATCAAGGAACTGGTTTCAGCTTCTATTGCATGAAGACATATCTCTTGAAAACACCACTATGCAGTTGTCTCTAAGAAGTGGAAGGAGGTCACGTCTAGATGGGTTTGGTTCTCTCTGAGGTGTTGGCAAGGGAAGAAAGTCATCAGAGTGGCTGCTTTGCAATGGCCTCATCCCTTGGTCATAAAACCTCCAAAATGGAATGAAAAATAGAAGTGAAGGAAGGTTTGGCCACTACAGTTAGCACTGATTTGACTAACAGCCATGAATTTATTCTGTGATCAGTATTTTGCAGTGTATTTTTCATTTGTTTCTTTTCCTCCAAGGCAGAAATGCATCTTCTACTGAATTTATTTTCACTGCTTTGTTTTGAAACAGCAGAATTGATCTCAATTATGATTTTTATCTTGACCACCGGTCATGTCAGAGCCTGGCCCAGCTCTTTAAAACAAATTCAGAATTCCTTGTTCTATTGATTGCTGCAAGAGTTCCATCCTGCTCTAGTTCAAGCATGTTTATTTTTAATGGTTGATATTTCCTTGGAGAAATATATTTAGTTCCTATAAAAAATAATTTTCCTACCTGTTTTTATGCTGGAAGGATTCTGAATGCATCCTGCAAAACTAACAATATGCATAGGAGTAGTAAGGAGTAGAAATAATAAAATAAAAAAATCGATGAGCTCTTTTTGTCCCCCACCCACTCCCCCAGTGGCAGAATGACACAAATCCATTTATGCACACACACATTTACACACAAATAAATGGATGAATAGATAGTGTAGATAGAATGAAAGAACCCTGCTATTTTAGATTGAAGTGCCTGTCACTGACATTAATTTAGATGTAGTATTAGGGAGCCTCTTAAAGGTCAGGTTTCCCCTGGAGCGTTAGTTTACCCTGGACATTTTTACAGATGATGTGCTAAAGATGTAATGCATCTAATAACTACATCTTGGCTTCATCTGCTTGATTCATCAAATTCCTTCCTGCTCAATACTGAGTTTTCAGTGACATGTTTTATGTGAAATATTACAAGACAGTATGTTAATGCTGTGTTGATTACAACTGACTTCTTTTTATTTGGAGGTACGTAAAAAGTAAAGCTCGTTTATTGCCTAATGGTCTTGGCCTATGGCTCCCTGGAAATAGAGGGCCCCTCATTTTTCAATTAAGGAGAGGTGGTTATGAATGACAGCTGCCCTCTCCTGGGAAAGGTGACATTCAGATGCTGGTGCAGCAGCATGACTACCCATGCAGCCAGGTTTATCATGTTGCTATATATAGAGCCAAATAATACTTGCTGGGTTCATACAAAGCCATAGGTGGTTAAATGCATTGATATCACAAAGACACAGCCTAATTCTTTCTCCTGTTCTGTGATCTCTTAATAGTACAGATGCTTAATCCTTTTTAAAGAGATCTTCTAACTTGATCGTGAAGACTATAGTTGACCAGAAACCAGAGCAGGGCAGCTCTGAGGTTAATAGATCTGTTTGCTTTAGAGCAATCAGTTTGTCTTTTCTACTTGATATGAGTATTTTTGTAGTGTTACATTTGTGCTGAGCTGTATGCTCTGGGCTTGTGAAAAAGAGCTTTGTACAAAGATGAGGGCACAAAAGATAATTTTTAGAAACAAATTGGTACTGAAATTAGTTGGATGAGAGTGGCATGTGCCAAAGAGCTGGCACTGACACAGTTCTGGAACTCGCCTGGTTTCACCTCTCCATCACTGACTCTCTATGGTATGTTGCCCATCTGAAGAATGAGTTTTAAGGTTTAAAAACAAGCAAATGTAACATCCACCCCCAAGAACTCTTAAGATCATCACAAGGAAATGATATATGGGTGAGAAATGTTGCAATTTCACCAGGCTGAAATATTTTTTCTGTGTCGCAGAGCTGGAGCCGTCCATTTCTGCACTGTCAGCCACCGTGTAGGCCATGAATGGGCTCTGCATCCTCCCTCTGAATTGCAGATTTCTCACTCTGTACCATCCTAAAGGAGGGCTGGTTTTCGTCTACACTGATCCCACTCATCTGGTTTTCCCTTACACCCAGGTGAGGACAAAAGCAGTGCAGTAACAAGGAGCTATGGTAGTGTGCCCTGAAAAGCACCCGCACCAAATTCATTTACTTTAGTTTGGGCTGAAGACTAGGCTATGTGTTCTTTGTCCAGACTTTGTTCTTAAACTCTGAAGCAAAGCACAGCCTCGCCTTTGTGGGTTTTTTCTTTTTCCTAGAACTGCCTTTTGTATGTATTGGCAGGAAAATAGCATTGCTCTTAAGGATCTCAAAGTCATTTCTGCTTCTGCAGCCTTGAAGGTGCAGTTATATTAAAAGGAGAAAAAAAGCTTTTAAATGTTGAAGCAGTTTCTAAAATAAAGAGGTTTGAATTTATGATTGATTTCGAAGTGATCTGTGTTTAAACTTTGAATGGGAATAAAATAGTGTCTTGTTCAAATATTGAACTAGTTTTAAAGTTAAATGGCTCGAACATAGAACTCTCTCATGGGAAATTGTATTCTCATTTCAGCCTCCGACTTCTCTTGTGTACTGTACTATACCTCATTGTAGTCATACACCAGTGTTTGCTTAGGCTGTACTGAAAAACTCTCTGATATGATTTTATTAGTTGATTTTAAAAAAAGCAATAACATACCAAAAGTACACTGAAAAAATTAATAGGGGCAGATGTTTTTCCGTGGTAATGGAAATTCAGCAGAATGATGTAAGCAAAGACTTAGGGTAGCTCTTTAAAGGAGAAGATTAGGGGAGATAAAAGAATTAAAAACCATTGACACGGAGATGTGGTCACTGAAGTATGGCATGATGCGTGAGAACAGTGTAATTGGAGAAGATTATTCTCTAGAGCTTGGCCAGTAAACAGACAAACAAACCATTACCTGTTATTGCTCACCAAGACACTCTTAATGTTTTGGGGTGGTGGTTACTCTTTATTGACTGTCCTGCTGTAAAAGTTATTGGTTGTGACTCACGTAAGAGGCCCGCAGTTGTATTTTATAGCATGTGCTGTCAACTTATTAATGTGGTTGTGTCTTTGAGTGGGTTTGGTTCTCTGGCTTGGCTTTCCCATTCAGCTGTATAAGGGCTAATGAAAATCTTACATCAGGAATGGGGGGAGCTGCATTCAAGGACTAGATAAAATGCAGCATAAATAATGGTATGTTGTCTTACTGACCATAACATTAAGATTCCCAATGTATTTTATAACCAAAAAGGCTTTTCAGTTTCTTAACTCTTGAGGGCATAATTATGTGTGCTGACTAATTGAGTTTTTAGACAGTTTTGCACATTCTCAGAGCACATCTTTCCTCGATGTGGGATTGTGCAATGGATCAACTTGACATTGATAGTGCTGTTGGTTTGACCCACTGTTTGGTGTCAGCCAAAGCTGGAGCAGAAGGCAAAGCTGCAGGTGAGCTGATCTTGCTGCTGAGCCCATCCCCATTGCAGCAAGAAATGGATCTGTGAGAGCTGGACATTCCAGTGGCAAATCCAGTGTGTTCTAAGAGTGTATCTTCATGGCTGCAGGCAAGGGGCTTGAGGGTAAACTGTGAGTGCAGTTTTAGATAATGGTGTGAAAAATAATCTCTGCCTTGGTCAAAGTTTGATGAACCCGTAGAGGAACTGAGTTTTTTGTTTATTTACATTTTTAATGAACTTGAACCACTGGAAGAGGAACTCCATTTTATGTTTGAGTTGAACTGGGGGAGGTGAGCATAATGGCAAGTTTTCAAAATTTGAAAGTAGGAAATATTTCTTTTAATAATGTAACTTTATAAGACAGCTAAAAAAATTCTTAGGAACTTAATGCACATTTTAAGAACTGTGTTTATGATTGTTTTTAGACTGTGGTGTACAACTAGTAGAGAATCAAAGGAAGCTTTACTGGAACATGCATACATCCATGCAGACATAGCTGAGAAATTACAGTAAATATAGAGAATCTGGATAACTGTCTTATTCCAAAAGAGAAACAAGTTATGGTCAGTGGAGGCTGTCTAATCAAACACTGCTATTAAGCCACAGAAGCCATCTATTCTGCAATTTTAATAAAACAAGAGACATGGAAGAAGCTGACAGTGGGAGCTCTATGTTAGTCAGTGAAGAGAATGGTATTTATTGGAATAAACCCCCACTCTTTCTATTACTAGTGCATGTGCTTCCTTTTTTTAATCATGAAGGACCTCGGAAATCTTCACATTTATCATGTTCTGTCAACTTTGAAACAGTCAGTAGGCCATCAGGCAGGTTCACTGTCCTCAGGTTTTCTCATCTGATGGAGATTCCTTGGAATTCAGTGAAGCTACACTGATCTTTACCCATTCTAGTTCTAGCCCCAGACTGTGTGTGTGTTCCTGTGTGTCTGTATGCACCTATACGTGCGTGTGGGTATGCACACACAGTGCATGCACGTTTACATACACTCTCCAGGAGCTGGACCACATTGAGGGAAGAGAAGGAAGCTGGTGAAGGCTGTAGAGCATAATTCCTATGAGGAGCAGCTGAAAGAGCCCAGGGGCTGTTTTGCCTGGAGAAGAAGAGGCTCAGGAGAGACCTTAGCACTCTCTATAACTACCTGAAAGGAGGTTGTAGCCAGGTGGGGGTTGGTCTCTTCTCCCAAGTAACAAGCAGTGGGATGAGAGGAAATGGCCTCAAGTTGCACCAGGGAAGGTTTAGATTGGATATTAAGAAAAAATTCTTTACAGAAAGGGTTGTCAGGCATTGGAGCAGGCTGCCTAGTGTGGTGACTGAATCACCAAGCCTGGAGGTATTTGAGGGATGTCTAGATGTGGCACTTAGGGACACGATTTAGTGGTGGGCTTGGCAGTGCTGGGTTAATAGCTGGACTCGATGATCTTAGAGATCTTTTCCAACCTGAATGCTTCCATGACTCTATGAAATACATTGCGAAAGACTTCATGTCTGGAAGACTCATAAGAACATGAGGCGTAATGTGAAACTCCCAGAAAGCTGTCACTGAGGACATTCCACAGAAAAGTCAGCGCAGCAGTTTTTGAAAGTGTTTTAGCTGTGCTGAGCACACCCCCAAGGCCTGGGAGTGCTCCTGCGCCACGCGTGGCCGTGCCACATATGTCACTGGGTGTTCTTGGATCCCTTTGCTGGCCAAGACGCAAATTTGGAGAAACAAATCCATTTGAGATAAAAACACCGGAAAGTTGTACTAATGAAATCTCAAAAAGGAAAGCAGAGATTTAGACATGTGATGACAAAAATGATATATAGTTTGTGCAACCTTAACTTCACCTTAGTTAAGATTTCTTTTCTTTTTTTCCCTTCCATTTTTACTTTTTTTTTTTTGGTAGGGAGTGGATTTATAAAATAAAGTACTGTATGGATGAGTGTAATCCAGTGAATGGTTTATGGACACACTCCTCCAGGGAGTGTTATAAGTTCACCTCTGAGTGCTAGATTTTGCATTTGGATCTCTGATTTAACTGCAAGAGGTGTAAAAACTGATGCATCGAGCCAACTCCCTACTGGTTGCACATCTGAGACTCAAGTGCTTCATTTGTTACTTTTAAAGCTATAGTAAATAATTTTAAACATGAAGTGAGGGATGTTTTTTCTCTCTCTCTTTTTTTAATTTTTTTTTTTGGTTTTGTGTTATTTTGCTTTGTTTTAGAAGGCTTATTGTTTCAAATAAAGGAGGACAACTTTAAAGCAAATAAAACATTGGATGATATTGTTAGAAATTATATTGGCTTCAAACCTGTTTGTTTGAAACAGTAGCTATATTGTATATTTTGGTAACTTTAGTGACTTTTGTTCTTCTTCTATCTCTTTTTGGGGGTCAGCCATCACAAATGCAGAAGCTATGCAGATCTGGAGATAGGCTACTTTTTGTTGGATGGGAAGGGTGGGCTGAATTAATACTAACATTTAGGCTGCTGGCAGCACCACTGGTGCCTCAGAAGAAACAGCACAGCTGCAAAAGCAGAACAGATTCACAGAGTTTAGGGTCAATGATAGTGATTAGTGTTAGTTATTATTATTGTCATAGTTACTTTACTTTGTAAAGTATTGTATCCCAGTTGTATCCCAGAGTGGGGTTGGTGGTCCATGAGAAGACTCTAAGTTCTATATTCAGAAGGTTTGGCATCTAACTGGAAGGCTTAATGCACATTTGAGGGGAGACCACTGTGCTTTGGTGGAGAGAACATAGTAAGGATTATGGATACAGAGTAAATTAGTTGCTTCCTTTGGGTGTGCATTTGTCTTTAAATGTTAAAAATGCATGGGCAGGCTTCAGAGAGACTGTGGAAGGCCTTCACAGTGAGGTAGGATGTGAGAAGGACTTTTGGTATGAATTTTGATGATATGAGGATGTACAATAACATGGTGCTTTGTGTACTAAGGTTCATGGAAGGTCAAGGTTTTTGAAGGTTGGTATTACTGCAGGGATGGAAGAAAAAGAAGAAATACACTGATAGAGAGATGTCAATGAAAAATGTATTGGTACCCTCTATTTATGGCTTTAGCAGCCCCCAAGCTTTTCTTGCAAGACTTAAATGTCTTTATCTGGAGAACCAATGCAATGAGAACTCCTCACTGTCTGGTAGCAGCCAGGAATAAAGATAGATACGTGAATGTAGGCTGATACAGGAGAGGAAGGCAGCTTGTGCATCACCAAGTTTTATCCCCTGCTGTTGCTGGATACTGAAGTAGTGTAAATTTCTCAGCCTCCCATGTGGCAGGGCTTTCCTCCATCTCATTCCCATGGGACAGTGGCTGGAGCATCTTGCCCTCCTCATGGTAAGGCATGTGCTTGTGAATTCCATTCTTAGTGGATTCGCGGCCAAGCTTTAATCTTTTCTTCTTATGCCAGAATTGTCTTTTAACTTGAAGAGCTTCTCTGCCTCTCACTTGCTTATCTCTGCTCCAGCCCCCTGCAATTACACAGAAATTACATTCCTTCAAAATAGGTTACAAAACCTGGCTTAATGTTTGGGCCAGACTGATAGCTCAGTAGTTCACTAGATAGGTTCCTCCCCT